CAGCACCCAGGCAGGCCTCTGATTCGGGCCTGGGATGGCCCACTGCCATCTGTGGGGTGGGAGGGGAGGATGCAGGCCTCACTGCCCTACCTCTTTCTTTTTTTTTAAGATAGATTTTTGCTATAAGGTGTGTGTCCTCACCTGAGAGACAGAAAGTGAGAAATCACCCCCCTCCATTCTCCTCTCGGGATCTTGGGCACACACTCACATGCACCTGGTGCGAGGTTTAAGTCACCGGGTGCAGGACTAGAACCACGGTCGACTGTGTGGAAGCCCAGCGATGAAACCGTTATGCCATCTGCTGATCCGGACCTTGCATCATTTTTGCTCACTCTCCAGTAGCACCTGGGGACAGTCCAGGGTGGGTTCACAGCCTTAGTGCCCTGGAGTCCCATGAGAGAGGGGCCCACTGTCTGCCAGGAAGGTGTGTGTTGGCCTGTGGCCAGCAGGCCTGTGTGCCCCTGAGCACAGACACTGGGTCCAGGCCTTGTGCTCTGAGGGGTTTATCTGGAGATCCCCAGGGGACTGTAAAGAGTGCTTCAGAGTGCACTCGGTCAAGGTGGGTGTGTGCAGGTGTGTGGTGTGCATGCATGTGGGGTGTGTGCGTGTGTGTACATGCATAAATGTGTGTGGTGTGTGCATAAATGTGTGCAGGTGAGTGCAGGTGTGTCCATACATGTGTGCATGTATGTGTTGAACAGCTGTGTGCATTTGCACAGGTGCTTGTGGGGAACACACTCAGTTGACCAAGATATTCAACCTGCTCATACTGTTCAGAGGAAACCTTGGTCCCAGGATGGAGGTCATCCTGCTCCCTGCGACTGTTCGCATGTGATTCTCCACAGTGGAGCTCCAGAGCCCTGGGGTCCCGGCTCAGGCCCAGGGTCAGGGTCAGTGTGTGGCTCAGAGGATGACCAGTTCACATGGGCTGGCTGCCAGGGTGGGGCTGGGGCCTGGTGAGGGAGGGCAGGTACTCCACTGAGCTCCACCAACTACAGTCAGGCCAAGGGGGTCCCACAGAGTCACAAGACATGTTCTTCTGGAGGCTACTGGACAGTGCTCCTCAGGAGACTCAGGGCAGCGCCCAGCTCAGCCTGCCCTCTGTGCGGCTTGGCACTGGCTCCCATGTGGTCCTGGGTTCAGGGAGACCCCAAAGCAGTCGAGGCTCTGCGGCTTCATGGTGGCCCCCACGGGCAGAGCAGCCTCAAAGCTTGGGGTTGAATCAGTGCCTGGCCCTGCCCCATGCTGGGCGCTGGCACTGATGCCAGGAGCGGGCATGCTGTCATTATGGGTTATTAAGCCATGCGCTGAAAGAGGCTGTTGAGAGAGAAACACTCAGTTTGATGGAGCCAGCTCAGCGCCTCCTAATTGCCGCGGTGGCAGCCATCTGTAATTACCCCGGACGACTGCAGGGAGGGGCCCTTGGCAGGCAGGGGTGCGGGCAGGGGGCCAGAAGGCTCCGTGCAGGGAGATATGGACTGGCCACGAACCCCTCCACATTCACGTGCGCGTACACATTCGCCTTGCTCAAATCCAGAGCAAGTAAGGGGCCAGGAGGGACTGTTCAGAGCCCTGAAGATCCTCCCATGGCTCTGGTCATGTCTCATCTCTGAGCGTCTCTCCCTCTCGCCCAGACTCTCCTCCTATTCTACCCCTCAGAGTGTACCTCTAGGGGCTCCGATCGCATTCCCTCTCCTCCCTGGGACATCACTGAGCTGGCTCCGGGGCTTTCTCAGAGCCTGACCTCAGCCTCCAAGTCTCTGCTGCCCCAAGGTGGAAGGTGGGCAATAGCATCTCATTAGGTTTTTCTTCTTGTAGCCTGAGGTCATGAGCCCTCCCTCTGCCCCAGCCCCTAAGGATGAACCCAGTGAGTCTTCGAAAGACCAATGTCTTGAGAGTTAAAGAATTTGCCGTGCGCCGCCATTGGGACGCCGAGCTCAGTCCTGCCGTGTGCAGGGCAGTCTATGAACGTCTCAGCTGTCTAGAGGTGGACGCTGCAGGCCACCCTCCATGCACTGTAAGCGGTGGGCTCTGCAGAGGTGAGGTCTCAACGGAGTGTCCTCCAGTGTCCCCCCAGGCCATCATGGAGGAGGGATCTGTCCTAGGATGTGCTAGTGTCTGAGCAGAGCCTGCCTGACCTCACTGGGAAGGCCTTTGAAGAGGAGCTCTTGCCACAAGGCAAGGTTCAAGCCTGGGAGGCCAGGAGGGAGGATGCTGGGCAGGGCAGACTTTGAAGGTCTCTACATGCCCCCTTACCATCTGGGGCAGGGGAGAGGGCAAGTATAAAGCGGGCTCAGGGTAGGACCAAGCCTAGAGAATTAGGTGGCCAATACTGTTAGCTAGCCTTGGAGGGACAGGTGCGTGGGAAAGGTCCTGGGGTAGAACAACAGAAGGATTGGTCAGGGCACCTGGGGGCAGTGCTCTGGATTCTCCAGAGGCCTTTCCACCTTCAGCACATGGTCTGGGGTCCTGCCTGGGAGTGGGGAGGAGCCTGTCCGTAGGAAACCATAGGAAAGAATCTAGAAAGCTTAGTTTTCTGTGCAAGTCAGGCTGGCCCATGCAGGAAGACGAATTAAAAAACAATATTTGTATCGGTGAAAGACATTTGCTGAAAGGTTAAATCCACATCCGGCAGTGTGCCTGCAATCCTCCTCCCAGCCACCTGAGCAAACCACGGGTGGGGCTGGGAAGGAGCTGAAGGAGGGAGTAGAGTGGGGAGGGGCAGGACCTCCCTCACTAGGGATCCCCAGCAGCCCACCATGGAGGGAACAAATGAGGCCTCTAGGGGCTTCGAGCGGAGCCGGAGTTTCAGCAGGCCTAGGGACGGGGCATGGAGGCTAGGCCACCCCCAAGGCCACTGGGGGCTCATGTGGGATTGCTGCACCTTCACACTGAGGTCCTGGGGGAAATCCTTTCAATGCCATCCCAAGAGTGACATCCCAGACCTCTGGGCCAGGCCTGGGAGGCAGAGGCTACTGGACACTTGCTCTTTAGGGACACAGAGTCAAGGAGATGAGACGAGTCAGGTCCTACACTGAGCACTGGGAGGCAGTAAAGGGCCACGCTGTCAGAGTTCCTGCCCCAGGGAATGGGTGATGGAGAGCAGAGGAAAGGGAGTCCTTAAGCATCATGGCAAGAAAGAGTAAACGGTGGTTGACCTGGGCTTTGTGGGGTATGTAGGAGCTCACCAGGAAGAGAAGGTGGGTGACAAATGGCATTGCAAGCTGGGTCTCCTGGAGCCCCAAACCCACCTAAAGCGGGAAGTGGGAATGGTGAGGGGCGGCGGAATCTACAGGGATTGGTTGGAGGGCCTTTCCTTTGCACTGACCAAGCACCCAGACTGCTTCCAGAGGGCAATGGGGAGCCTCTGAGGATTGTGGAGCAAGGAAGCAATGTAGATGAACCAATTTGGGGGACGATCCCAGGGGCCATTGTTGGAGATCACTGGAGAGAGGGGGAAGCTGGCAGCTGTCACGAGCTGAGTGGGCAGTTCCTGGGGGTCTGAGAGATGCCCAGGAGGGGTCCGAAGTCCCATGGTAACCAACAAAGGAGGGGTGGACCTGCGGGAGGTTGGGGAGAGCACAGGGCTTCTGACTTCTGCTGTATCCAGTGTGTTGTCCTGGGCTGCTGGCACCAGAAAGCTTGACTCCAGGGGCTGCCCCTGGGGCATGTATGTGCCCTTGGCACCTAGACGAGGCCTCTCCCTCTCTCCACTCCACCATGTTCAGAATGGACTCTGGCCTCAGGCCTGCTGACCTCGTGATACCCAGAGGGACCAGGAGAGGACATCTCTTCTGCGGGTCTGTCTTTTTGAGAGAGAACACCTTTCCCAGACAGCCCAGAAGCTGTCTTGCCCCTTCTGCACATCTCTGCCCAAAGCCATCACTGGCAAGAAGGAACAGCCCCAGAAAAGCAGCCTAGGCAACCCCACCTTTCCTAGCGAGAGGTCCCCCCCACACACACCCTCCGAGATTTCCCTGGGTCAGGGACATTGCGTACCTGGTGGGGCAGCAGCTGGGAGGAAGCAGACAAGAGCCTGCTGGGGCTGAACAAAAGGTGGTTGTAGGGTGCTGGAGTGACATGGGACTCAGGAGACACGCTGGGATAGCTTGTCCTTGCAGGGCTCCATGGAGCACCATCATCCCAGGCAGCTGAGGAAGAGGGGGTGGCAGCTAGAGGGGAGGGTCCTAAGAGGGGAGCAGGAGTCCAGGGAGCTCAGCACCAAGGCCAGTGGGGCCACGGGCTGTGTGGGCTGCGTGGGAGCTGGGGCCTGTCCTGGATGCTCTCAGGGGTGGCTGTCCCTACAGAATTCCCTTTCCCAGGCCTCCCTGTCTCTTCCTACTGGAGGGCTAAGTCCTCCGGAAATACCCTGGGTCCCACCGGATGTGTGTGGGACCACATGTAGGGGGGCAAGGTTGGGGGATCTCATCTAAGGGACCCTGATGGGAAATTTGGTGAAGAATCTTCTGGAAAAGCAAACAAGTCACTTCGTGATATCTGAGGCTTGAGTCCGGATTTCACCTCTTGGGGGTTTCGGGGTCTGTCTGCCATGAAGGTCCGGTGTTCTTCCTGACCTGGGGCTGCAGGCCTGGCTCTGCCTACTTGCTTCCATGCCTGAGGTCGAGAGGTGCCTGGAACAGCCCCTGCCTGTATGTCCCCCTTGGGGATGTGGGACCAGGGGGCCTTAGCTGTCCCTGGCCCCTGCAGAGCACAAGTCAGCCCTGACCCTGCTGTGCCCGCTGGGGCTGTGGATGATTCAGAGGCAGGGCAGGGCAGCCCCTGCCTGGGTTCCTGCGACAGTGGATGCAATTAGATTTAATGGGACGCAGCCCTTTCTCCGCGTCTCCCTGCTCCTCACCAGCCCCCGCCTCCCTCAACGCAGCAGGCAAGGAGGGGGATGCAGAGGAGGTGGGAGGTGGGAAGTGGGAGGTAGGGGACCCAGAGGGGGCTTTGACGTCAGCTCAGCCTATAAAAGGCCACTGGGCTGAAGGCTGTGGAGACGGAGCCCCGGACCACCACGCTGCATCATGCCCACCCCCAACGCTGCCACGCCGCAGCCCAAGGGCTTCCGAAGGGCTGTGTCCGAGCTGGACGCCAAGCAGGCTGAGGCCATCATGGTAAGAAGGCACACTGGCACCAGGGCCGAGTGGACCAGAGCCCAGGGCTGGCCTGAGCTGCTTCTGCTCCCTGGCTGGTGGGTGGACCCGCATGGACTGTGGGACCCAGTGCTGGTGTGGAACCCTGGTCCTGGCAGGCGTCCCTGTATGTCTGGGTGTTTGAGTCTCTGTAGGTGTGTCCTGTCCTTGTGCGTGTTTGAGGGGAGGGTCTCTGTGTGTCCTGTGTCATTTCGAACTATAGGGCTAGGAGCTGGGAAAATAATCCTCCTTGGGGAATCTTGGAAAGGACCCCTTATGAACAAGAGTGCATGGTCAGGTAACCAGAGGCCCCGGAGTGAGTGGCTGCCCCACTGCCTTCTCCCTGTGCCCAGCCACCCGGTGGGCAGCAGCTCATGGGTGGGGGGCTTGGACAAATGGCGGCACAGATTCAGCTTCTCCTGTGTCACAGGGGGCTGCTCCAGGCTCTGGGGCAAATTCAGCCACCTGTCCCTCCATCCCCTCTCTCCTCCCCATGTGGTCTGTGTGTTCTATGGGTTTCACATACAGAGGGGCTATGTTTGGCAGACCCTAAGCAGGCCACCTCTGCAAGACTAGAAATGGGACTTTTTAGCCCACAGAGGTGTCTTCACTCATCCTCTGAAATCCAGAATAATTCACTCCTAACATATATATATATATATATATATATATATATATTTATTTTTCTCATATAGTATG